GTGTAGAGAAAATTGTGCATCGGCCAGTCTGGCCGGCATTTCGCACTTATAGTGCAACTAGGGCCAAGGAGAACGGAAACGCTCATTTCTCAAAAAGTAGAGGGAATCTAGCGGTCTCACTTGATCAGAAGGTGGGAAATATATAAATCTAGTAAGCTAATAAGGTTCGAAAGGAATCTAATGCATATGTATATGGAAAATGGTGCATTGGCCAGGTCGGTCAGTATGGGAACTTAGAGTGCAAATGCCAGGGAGAACGGAAGCGCTCAGATCTCGCATAGTACACGGAATCTAGTGGTCTCACTCAAATAGAAGGTAGGAAATAAATTCATCTAGTGAACGTAAGGGTTTGAAAGGTAACTAACACACATGTGTAGAGAAAATGGTGCATCGGCTAGTCTGACCGGCATTTCGCACTTATAGTGCAAGTAGGGCCAAGGAGAACGGAAACGCTCATTTCTCAAAAAGTAAAGGGAATCTAGCAGTCTCACTCGATCAGAAGGTGGGAAATATATAAATCTAGTGAGCCAATAAGGTTCGAAAGGAATCTAATGCATATGTATATGGAAAATGGTGCATTGGCCAGGTCGGTCAGTATGGGAACTTAGAGTGCAAATGCCAGGGAGAACGGAAGCGCTCAGATCTCGCATAGTACACGGAATCTAGTGGTCTCACTCAAATAGAAGGTAGGAAATAAATTCATATAGTGAACGTAAGGGTTTGAAAGGTAACTAACGCACATGTGTAGAGAAAATGGAGCATCGGCCAGTCTGGCCGGCATTTCGCACTTATAGTGCAAGTAGGGCCAAGGAGAACGGAAACGCTCATTTCTCAAAAAGTAAAGGGAATCTAGCACTCTCACTCGATCAGAAGGTGGGAAATATATAAATCTAGTGAGCTTATAAGGTTCGAAAGGAATCTAATGCATATGTATATGGAAAATGGTGCATTGGCCAGGTCGGTCAGTATGGGAACTTAAAGTGCAAATGCCTGGGAGAACGGAACCGCTCAGATCTCGCATAATACACGGAATCTAGTGGTCTAACTCAAATATAAGGTAGGAAATATATTCATCTAGTGAACGTAAGGGTTTGAAAGGTAACTAACGCACATGTGTAGAGAAAATGGTGCATCGGCCAGTCTGGCCGGCATTTCGCACTCATAGTGCAGGTGGGGCCAGGGAGAACGGAAACGCTCGTTTCTCAAAAAGTAGAGGGAATCTAATGGTCTCACTCGATCAGAAGGTGGGAAATATATAAATCTAGTCAGCTAAAAAGGTTTGAAATGTATTCAACGCACATGTATAGAGAAAATGGTGCATTGGCCAGGTCGGTCAGTATCGGAACTTAAAATGCAAATGCCAGGGAGAACGGAAGCGCTCAGATCTCGCATAGTACTCGGAATCAAGTGGTCTCACTCAAATAGAAAGTAGGAAATAAATTCATCTAGTGAACGTAAGGGTTTGAAAGGTAACTAACGCACATGTGTAGAGAAAATTGTGCATCGGCCAGTCTGGCCGGCATTTCGCACTTATAGTGCAACTAGGGCCAAGGAGAACGGAAACGCTCATTTCTCAAAAAGTAGAGGGAATCTAGCGGTCTCACTTGATCAGAAGGTGGGAAATATATAAATCTAGTAAGCTAATAAGGTTCGAAAGGAATCTAATGCATATGTATATGGAAAATGGTGCATTGGCCAGGTCGGTCAGTATGGGAACTTAGAGTGCAAATGCCAGGGAGAACGGAAGCGCTCAGATCTCGCATAGTACACGGAATCTAGTGGTCTCACTCAAATATAAGGTAGGAAATTAATTCATCTAGTGAACGTAAGGGTTTGAAAGGTAACTAACACACATGTGTAGAGAAAATGGTGCATCGGCCAGTCTGACCGGCATTTCGCACTTATAGTGCAAGTAGGGCCAAGGAGAACGGAAACGCTCATTTCTCAAAAAGTAAAGGGAATCTAGCAGTCTCACTCGATCAGAAGGTGGGAAATATATAAATCTAGTGAGCCAATAAGGTTCGAAAGGAATCTAATGCATATGTATATGGAAAATGGTGCATTGGCCAGGTCGGTCAGTATGGGAACTTAGAGTGCAAATGCCAGGGAGAACGGAAGCGCTCAGATCTCGCATAGTACACGGAATCTAGTGGTCTCACTCAAATAGAAGGTAGGAAATAAATTCATATAGTGAACGTAAGGGTTTGAAAGGTAACTAACGCACATGTGTAGAGAAAATGGAGCATCGGCCAGTCTGGCCGGCATTTCGCACTTATAGTGCAAGTAGGGCCAAGGAGAACGGAAACGCTCATTTCTCAAAAAGTAAAGGGAATCTAGCACTCTCACTCGATCAGAAGGTGGGAAATATATAAATCTAGTGAGCTTATAAGGTTCGAAAGGAATCTAATGCATATGTATATGGAATATGGTGCATTGGCCAGGTCGGTCAGTATGGGAACTTAAAGTGCAAATGCCTGGGAGAACGGAACCGCTCAGATCTCGCATAATACACGGAATCTAGTGGTCTCACTCAAATATAAGGTAGGAAATATATTCATCTAGTGAACGTAAGGGTTTGAAAGGTAACTAACGCACATGTGTAGAGAAAATGGTGCATCGGCCAGTCTGGCCGGCATTTCGCACTCATAGTGCAGGTGGGGCCAGGGAGAACGGAAACGCTCGTTTCTCAAAAAGTAGAGGGAATCTAATGGTCTCACTCGATCAGAAGGTGGGAAATATATAAATCTAGTCAGCTAAAAAGGTTTGAAATGTATTCAACGCACATGTATAGAGAAAATGGTGCATTGGCCAGGTCGGTCAGTATCGGAACTTAAAATGCAAATGCCAGGGAGAACGGAAGCGCTCAGATCTCGCATAGTACACGGAATCAAGTGGTCTCACTCAAATAGAAAGTAGGAAATAAATTCATCTAGTGAACGTAAGGGTTTGAAAGGTAACTAACGCACATGTGTAGAGAAAATTGTGCATCGGCCAGTCTGGCCGGCATTTTGCACTTATAGTGCAAGTAGGGCCAAGGAGAACGGAAACGCTCATTTCTCGAAAAGTAGAGTGAATCTAGCGGTCTCACTTGATCAGAAGGTGAGAAATATATAAATCTAGTAAGCTAATAAGGTTCGAAAGGAATCTAATGCATATGTATATGGAAAATGGTGCATTGGCCAGGTCGGTCAGTATGGGAACTTAGAGTGCAAATGCCAGGGAGAACGGAAGCGCTCAGATCTCGCATAGTACACGGAATCTAGTGGTCTCACTCAAATAGAAGGTATGAAATAAATTCATCTAGTGAACGTAAGGGTTTGAAAGGTAACTAACACACATGTGTAGAGAAAATGGTGCATCGGCCAGTCTGGTCGGCATTTCGCACTTATAGTGCAAGTAGGGCCAAGGAGAACGGAAACGCTCATTTCTCAAAAAGTAAAGGGAATCTAGCGGTCTCACTCGATCAGAAGGTGGGAAATATATAAATCTAGTCAGCTAATAAGGTTCGGAAGGAATCTAATGCATATGTATATGGAAAGTGGTGCATTGGCCAGGTCGGTCAGTATGGGAACTTAGAGTGCAAATGCCTGGGAGAACGGAACCGCTCAGATCTCGCATAATGCACGGAATCTAGTGGTCTCACTCAAACATAAGGTAGGAAATATATTCATCTAGTGAACGTAAGGGTTTGAAAGGTAACTAACGCACATGTGTAGAGAAAATGGTGCATCGGCCAGTCTGGCCGGCATTTCGCACTCATAGTGCAGGTGGGGCCAGAGAGAACGGAAACGCTCGTTTCTCAAAAAGTAGAGGGAATCTAATGGTCTCACTCGATCAGAAGGTGGGAAATATATAAATCTAGTCAGCTAAAAAGGTTTGAAATGTATTCAACGCACATGTATAGAGAAAATGGTGCATTGGCCAGGTCGGTCAGTATCGGAACTTAAAATGCAAATGCCAGGGAGAACGGAAGCGCTCCTCTTTCGCATAGTACACGGAATCAAGTGGTCTCACTCAAATAGAAAGTTGGAAATATATTCATCTAGTGAACGTAAGGGTTTGAAAGGTAACTAACGCACATGTGTAGAGAAAATGGTGCATCGGCCAGTCTGGCCGGCATTTCGCACTTATAGTGCAACTAGGGCCAAGGAAAACGGAAACGCTCATTTCTCAAAAAGTAGAGGGAATCTAGCGGTATCACTCGATCAGAAGGTGGGAAATATATAAATCTAGTGAGCTAATAAGGTTCGAAAGGAATCTAATGCATATGTATATGGAAAATGGTGCATTGGCCAGGTCGGTCAGTATGGGAACTTAGAGTGCAAATGCCAGGGAGAACGGAAGCGTTCAGATCTCGCATAGTACACGGAATCTAGTGGTTTCACTCAAATAGAAGGTAGGAAATAAATTCATCTAGTGAACGTAATGGTGTGAAAGGTAACTAACGCACATGTGTAGAGAAAATGGTGCATCGGCCAGTCTGGCCGGCATTTCGCACTTATAGTGCAAGTAGGGCCAAGGAGAACGGAAACGCTTATTTCTCAAAAAGTAAAGGGAATCTAGCGGTCTCACTCGATCAGAAGGTGGGAAATATATAAATCTAGTGAGCTAATAAGGTTCGGAAGGAATCTAATGCATATGTATATGGAAAGTGGTGCATTGGCCAGGTCGGTCAGTATGGGAACTTAGAGTGCAAATGCCTGGGAGAACGGAACCGCTCAGATCTCGCATAATACACGGAATCTAGTGGTCTCACTCAAGTATAAGGTAGGAAATATATTCATCTAGTGAACGTAAGGGTTTGAAAGGTAACTAACGCACATGTGTAGAGAAAATGGTGCATTGGCCACTCTAGCCGGCATTTCGCACTCATAGTGCAGGTGGGGCCAGGGAGAACGGAAACGCTCGTTTCTCAAAAAGTTGAGGGAATCTAACGGTCTCACTTGTTGAGAAGGTGGGAAATATATAAATATAGTCAGCTAAAAAGGTTTGAAATGTATTCAATGCACATGTATAGAGAAAATGGTGCATTGGCCAGGTCGGTCAGTATCGGAACTTAAAATGCAAATGCCAGGGAGAACGGAAGCACTCAGATCTCGCATAGTACACGGAATCAAGTGGTCTCACTCAAATAGAAAGTAGGAAATCTATTCATCTAGTGAACGTAAGGGTTTGAAAGGTAACTAACGCACATGTGTAGAGAAAATTGTGCATCGGCCAGTCTGGCCGGCATTTCGCACTTATAGTGCAACTAGGGCCAAGGAGAACGGAAACGCTCATTTCTCAAAAAGTAGAGGGAATCTAGCGGTCTCACTCGATCAGAAGGTGGGAAATATATAAATCTAGTGAGCTAATAAGGTTCGAAAGGAATCTAATACATATGTATATGGAAAATGGTGCATTGGCTAGGTCGGTCAGTATGGGAACTTAGAGTGCAAATGACATGGACGTGGACGTGGACGTGGACGTGGACATGGACATGGACATGGACGTGGACATGGACGTGGACGTGGACATGGACGTGGATGTGGACATGGACGTGGAAGTGTCCATGTCCACGTCCACGTCCACGTCTATGTCCACGTCCACGTTCACGTCCACGTCCATGTCCATGTCCATGTCCACGTCCACGTCCATGTCCACGTCCACGTCCATGTCCAAGTCCATGTCCCTGTCTACGTCCACGTCCACGTCCATGTCCACGTCCACGTCCTCGTCCACGTCCAGGTCCACGTCCATGTCTACGTCCACGTCCACGTCCACGTCCATGTCCACGTCCAAGTCCATGTCCACGACCACGTCCACGTTCACGACCACGTCCACGTCCACGTCCACGTCCACGTCTAAGTCCATGTCCACGTCCACGTCCATGTCCACGTCCACGTCCATGTCCACGTCCACGTCCACGTCCATGTCCACGTCCACGTCCATGTCCACGTCCACGTCCACGTCCACGTCCACGTCCACGTCCACGTCCACATCCACTCCACGTCCACCTCCACGTCCACGTCCACCTCCACGTCCACGTCCACGTCCACGTCCACGTCCACGTCCACGTCCATGTCCATGTCCAGGTCCACGTTCACGTCCATGTCCACGTCCAAGTTCTCCACGTCCACGTCCACGTCCACGTCCACGTCCATGTCCACGTCCACGTCCATGTCCACGTCCATGTTCACGTCCACGTCTTGTCCACGTCCACGTCCATGTCCACGTCCACGTCCACGTCCACGTCCACGACCATGTCCGCGTCCACATCCATGTCCACGTCCACGTCCATGTCCACGTCCATGTCCACGTCCACGTCCATGTCCACGTCCACGTCCACGTCCACGTCCATGTCCACGTCCACGTCCACGTCCATGTCCACGTCCAAGTCCTCCACGTTCACGTCCACGTCCACGTCCATGTCCACGTCCAAGTTCTCCACGTCCACGTCCACGTCCACGTCCACGTCCTCCACGTCCACGTCCACGTCCACGTCCACGTCCATGTCCACGTCCACGTCCACTCCACGTCCACTCCACGTCCACGTCCACGTCCACGTCCACGTCCATGTCCACGCCCATGTCCACGTCCACGTCCACGTCCACGTCCACGTCCACGTCCACGTCCACGTCCATGTCCACGTCCACGTCCACGTCCACGTCCACGTCACGTCCACGTCCACGTCACGTCCACATCCACGTCCATGTCAACGTCCACGTCCACGTCCACGTCCACTCCACGTCCACGTCCATGTCCACGTCCAAGTCCTCCACGTCCACGTCCACGTTCACGTCCATGTCCACGTCCAAGTTCTCCACATCCACGTCCACGTCCACGTCCACGTCCACGTCCTCCACGTCCACGTCCACGTCCACGTCCACGTCCACGTCCACGTCCACGTCTACGTCTACGTCCACGTCCATGTCTACGTCCACGTCCACGTCCATGTCCACGTCCACGTCCACGTCCACGTCCACGTCCATGTCCACGTCCACGTCCACGTCCACGTCCATGTCGACGTCCACGTCCACGTCCACGTCCACGTCCACGTCCACTCCACGTCCACCTCCACGTCCACGTCCACCTCCACGTCCACGTCCACGTCCACGTCCACGTCCACGTCCACGTCCATGTCCACGTCCATGTCCACGTCCAAGTTCTCCACGTCCACGTTCTCCACGTCCACGTCCACGTCCACGTCCACGTCCACGTCCACGTCCATGTCCACGTCCACGTCCATGTCCACGTCCATGGTCACGTCCACGTCTTGTTCACGTCCACGTCCATGTCCACGTCCACGTCCACGTCCACGACCATGTCCACGTCCACGTCCATGTCCACGTCCACGTCCACGACCACGTCCATGTCCAGGTCCATGTCCACGTCCACGTCCACGTCCACGTCCATGTCCACGTCCACGTCCACGTCCACGTCCACGTCCACGTCCATGTCCACGTCCACGTCCACGTCCATGTCCACGTCCAAGTCCTCCACGTCCACGTCCACGTCCACGTTCACGTCCATGTCCACGTCCAAGTTCTCCATGTCCACGTCCACGTCCACGTCCACGTCCTCCACGTCCACGTCCACGTCCACGTCCACGTCCACGTCCACGTCCACGTCCACGTCCACGTCCACGTCCACCTCCACGTCCACGTCCACCTCCACGTCCACGTCCACGTCCACGTCCATGTCCACGTCCAGGTCCACGTTCACGTCCATTTCCACGTCCAAGTTCTCCACGTCCACGTCCACGTCCAAGTCCACGTCCACGTCCATGTCCACGTCCACGTCCATGTCCACGTCCATGTTCACGTCCACGTCTTGTTCACGTCCACGTCCATGTCCACGTCCACGTCCACGTCCACGTCCACGACCATGTCCACGTCCACGTCCATGTCCACGTCCACGTCCACGTCCACGTCCATGTCCAAGTCCATGTCCACGTCCACGTCCACGTCCACGTCCACGTCCATGTCCACGTCCACGTCCACGTCCACGTCCACGTCCATGTCCACGTCCATGTCCACGTCCACGTCCACGTCCATGTCCACGTCCAAGTCCTCCACGTCCACGTCCACGTCCACGTTCACGTCCATGTCCACGTCCACGTCCACGTCCACGTCCACGTCCACGTCCTCCACGTCCACGTCCACGTCCACGTCCACGTCCATGTCCACGTCCACGTCCACTCCACGTCCACTCCACGTCCACGTCCATGTCCACGTCCACGTCCACGTCCACGTCCACGTCCATGTCCACGTCCACGTCCACGTCCATGTCCACGTCCATGTCCACGTCCACGTCCATGTCCACGTCCATGTCCACGTCCACGTCCACGTCCACGTCCACGTCCACGTCCACGTCCACGTCCACGTCCACGTCCACGTCCACGTCACGTCCACGTCAACGTCCATGTCCACGTCCACGTCCACGTCAACGTCCACGTCCACGTCCACGTCCACTCCACGTCCACGTCCATGTCCACGTCCAAGTCCTCCACGTCCACGTCCACGTCCACGTCCACGTCCTCCACGTCCACGTCCACGTCCACGTCCACGTCCACGTCCACGTCCACGTCCACGTCTACGTCTACGTCCACGTCCATGTCCACGTCCACGTCCACGTCCACGTCCATGTCCACGTCCATGTCCACGTCCACGTCCACGTCCACGTCCACGTCCACGTCCACGTCCACGTCGACGTCGACGTCCACTCCATGTCCACCTCCACGTCCACCTCCACCTCCACGTCCACCTCCACGTCCACCTCCACGTCCACGTCCACGTCCACGTCCACGTCCATGTCCACGTCCACGTCCATGTCCACGTCCATGTTCACGTCCACGTCTTGTTCACGTCCACGTCCATGTCCACGTCCACGTCCACATCCACGTCCACGTCCACGTCCATGTCCACGTCCACGTCCACGTCCATGTCCACGTCCAAGTCCTCCACGTCCACGTCCACGTCCACGTTCACGTCCATGTCCACGTCCAAGTTCTCCACGTCCACGTCCACGTCCACGTCCACGTCCACGTCCACGTCCTCCACGTCCACGTCCACGTCCACGTCCACGTCCACGTCCACGTCCACGTCCACATCCACGTCCACGTCCACTCCACGTCCACTCCACGTCCACGTCCACGTCCACGTCCACGTCCACGTCCATGTCCACGTCCATGTCCACGTCCACGTCCACGTCCATGTCCACGTCCATGTCCACGTCCACGTCCACGTCCACCTCCATGTCCACGTCCACGTCCACCTCCATGTCCACGTCCACGTCCACGTCACGTCCACGTCCATGTCCACGTCCACGTCCACGTCAACGTCCACGTCCACGTCCACGTCCACTCCACGTCCACGTCCACGTCCACTCCACGTCCACGTCCATGTCCACGTCCAAGTCCTCCACGTCCACGTCCACGTTCACGTCCATGTCCACGTCCAAGTTCTCCACGTCCACGTCCACGTCCACGTCCACGTCCACGTCCCCCACGTCCACGTCCACGTCCACGTCCACGTCCACGTCTACGTCTACGTCCACGTCCATGTACACGTCCACGTCCACGTCCATGTCCACGTCCATGTCCACGTCCACGTCCACGTCCACGTCCACGTCCACGTCCACGTCCACTCCACGTCCACCTCCACGTCCACGTCCACCTCCACGTCCACGTCCACCTCCACGTCCACGTCCACGTCCACGTCGACGTCCACGTCCACGTCCATGTCCACGTCCACGTCCATGTCCACGTCCATGTTCACGTCCACGTCTTGCTCACGTCCACGTCCATGTCCACGTCCACGTCCACGTCCACGTCCACGTCCACGTCCATGTCCACGTCCACGTCCACGTCCATGTCCACGTCCATGTCCACGTCCACGTCCACGTCCACGTCCACGTCCACTCCACGTCCACCTCCACGTCCACGTCCACCTCCACGTCCACGTCCACGTCCACGTCCACGTCCACGTCCACGTCCACGTCCATGTCCACGTCCATGTTCACGTCCACGTCCATGTCCACGTCCACGTCCACGTCCATGTCCACGTCCACGTCCATGTCCACGTCCATGTTCACGTCCACGTCCATGTCCACGTCCACGTCCATGTCCACGTCCATGTTCACGTCCACGTCCATGTTCACGTCCACGTCCACGTCCACGTCCACGTCCATGTCCACGTCCACGTCCATGTCCACGTCCACGTCCACGTCCACGTCCACGTCCACGTCCATGTCCACGTCCACGTCCATGTCCACGTCCATGTCCACGTCCACGTCCATGTCCACGTCCACGTCCACGTCCACGTCCACCTCCACGTCCACGTCCACGTCCACGTCCACGTCCACGTCCACTCCACGTCCACCTCCACGTCCACGTCCACCTCCACGTCCACCTCCACGTCCACGTCCACGTCCACGACCATGTCCACGTCCACGTCCATGTCCACGTCCACGTCCACGACCACGTCCATGTCCAGGTCCATGTCCACGTCCACGTCCACGTCCACGTCCACGTCCATGTCCACGTCCACGTCCACGTCCACGTCCACGTCCACGTCCATGTCCACGTCCACGTCCACGTCCATGTCCACGTCCAAGTCCTCCACGTCCACGTCCACGTCCACGTTCACGTCCATGTCCACGTCCAAGTTCTCCATGTCCACGTCCACGTCCACGTCCACGTCCTCCACGTCCACGTCCACGTCCACGTCCACGTCCACGTCCACGTCCACGTCCATGTCCACGTCCACGTCCACGTCTACGTCCACGTCCTCTCCACGTCCACCTCCACGTCCACGTCCACCTCCACGTCCACGTCCACGTCCACGTCCACGTCCACGTCCATGTCCACGTCCAGGTCCACGTTCACGTCCATTTCCACGTCCAAGTTCTCCACGTCCACGTCCACGTCCAAGTCCACGTCCACGTCCATGTCCACGTCCACGTCCATGTCCACGTCCATGTTCACGTCCACGTCTTGTTCACGTCCACGTCCATGTCCACGTCCACGTCCACGTCCACGTCCACGACCATGTCCACGTCCACGTCCATGTCCACGTCCACGTCCACGTCCACGTCCATGTCCAAGTCCATGTCCACGTCCACGTCCACGTCCACGTCCACGTCCATGTCCACGTCCACGTCCACGTCCACGTCCACGTCCACGTCCATGTCCACGTCCATGTCCACGTCCACGTCCACGTCCATGTCCACGTCCAAGTCCTCCACGTCCACGTCCACGTCCACGTTCACGTCCATGTCCACGTCCACGTCCACGTCCACGTCCACGTCCACGTCCTCCACGTCCACGTCCACGTCCACGTCCACGTCCACGTCCACGTCCATGTCCACGTCCACGTCCACTCCACGTCCACTCCACGTCCACGTCCATGTCCACGTCCACGTCCACGTCCATGTCCACGTCCATGTCCACGTCCACGTCCACGTCCATGTCCACGTCCATGTCCACGTCCACGTCCACGTCCACCTCCACGTCCACGTCCACGTCCACGTCCACGTCCACGTCCACGTCACGTCCACGTCCACGTCCATGTCCACGTCCACGTCCACGTCAACGTCCACGTCCACGTCCACGTCCACTCCACGTCCACGTCCATGTCCACGTCCAAGTCCTCCACGTCCACGTCCACGTTCACGTCCATGTCCACGTCCAAGTTCTCCACGTCCACGTCCACGTCCACGTCCACGTCCACGTCCACGTCCTCCACGTCCACGTCCACGTCCACGTCCACGTCCATGTCCACGTCCACGTCCACGTCTACGTCTACGTCCACGTCCATGTCCACGTCCACGTCCACGTCCACGTCCATGTCCACGTCCATGTCCACGTCCACGTCCACGTCCACGTCCACGTCCACGTCCACGTCCACGTCGACGTCGACGTCGATGTCCACTCCATGTCCACCTCCACGTCCACCTCCACCTCCACGTCCACCTCCACGTCCACCTCCACGTCCACGTCTACGTCCACGTCCACGTCCATGTCCACGTCCACGTCCATGTCCACGTCCATGTTCACATCCACGTCTTGTTCACGTCCACGTCCATGTCCACGTCCACGTCCACGTCCACGTCCACGTCCACGTCCATGTCCACGTCCACGTCCACGTCCATGTCCACGTCCAAGTCCTCCACGTCCACGTCCACGTCCACGTTCACGTCCATGTCCACGTCCAAGTTCTCCACGTCCACGTCCACGTCCACGTCCACGTCCACGTCCTCCACGTCCACGTCCACGTCCACGTCCACGTCCACGTCCACGTCCACGTCCACGTCCACTCCACGTCCACTCCACGTCCACGTCCACGTCCACGTCCACGTCCACGTCCATGTCCACGTCCATGTCCACGTCCACGTCCACGTCCATGTCCACGTCCATGTCCACGTCCACGTCCACGTCCACCTCCATGTCCACGTCCACGTCCACCTCCACGTCAACGTCCACGTCCACGTCCACGTCCACTCCACGTCCACGTCCACGTCCACGTCAACGTCCACGTCCACGTCCACGTCCACTCCACGTCCACGTCCACGTCCACTCCACGTCCACGTCCATGTCCACGTCCAAGTCCTCCACGTCCACGTCCACGTCCACGTCCATGTCCACGTCCAAGTTCTCCACGTCCACGTCCACGTCCACGTCCACGTCCACGTCCTCCACGTCCACGTCCACGTCCACGTCCACGTCCACGTCTACGTCTACGTCCACGTCCATGTACACGTCCACGTCCACGTCCACGTCCACGTCCACGTCCACGTCCACTCCACGTCCACCTCCACGTCCACGTCCACCTCCACGTCCACGTCCACCTCCACGTCCACGTCCACGTCCACGTCGACCTCCACGTCCACGTCCATGTCCACGTCCACGTCCATGTCCACGTCCATGTTCACGTCCACGTCTTGCTCACGTCCACGTCCATGTCCACGTCCACGTCCACGTCCACGTCCACGTCCACGTCCACGTCCATGTCCACGTCCACGTCCACGTCCATGTCCACGTCCATGTCCACGTCCACCTCCACGTCCACGTCCACGTCCACTCCACGTCCACCTCCACGTCCACGTCCACCTCCACGTCCACGTCCACGTCCACGTCCACGTCCACGTCCACGTCCACGTCCATGTCCACGTCCATGTTCACGTCCACGTCCATGTCCACGTCCACGTCCACGTCCATGTCCACGTCCACGTCCATGTCCACGTCCATGTTCACGTCCACGTCCATGTCCACGTCCACGTCCATGTCCACGTCCATGTTCACGTCCACGTCCATGTTCACGTCCACGTCCACGTCCACGTCCACGTCCACGTCCATGTCCACGTCCACGTCCATGTCCACGTCCATGTCCACGTCCACGTCCACGTCCACGTCCACGTCCATGTCCACGTCCACGTCCATGTCCACGTCCACGTCCACGTCCATGTCCACGTCCACGTCCACGTCCACGTCCACGTCCACGTCCACGTCCATGTCCACGTCCAAGTCCTCCACGTCCAAGTCCTCCACGTCCACGTCCATGTCCACGTCCAAGTTCTCCACGTCCACGTCCACGTCCACGTCCACGTCCTCCATGTCCACGTCCACGTCCACGTCCACGTCCACGTCCACGTCCACGTCCACGTCCACGTCCATGTCCACGTCCACTCCACGTCCACTCCACGTCCACGTCCACGTCCACGTCCATGTCCACGTCCATGTCCACGTCCACGTCAACGTCCATGTCCACGTCCATGTCCACGTCCACGTCCACGTCCACCTCCATGTCCACGTCCACGTCCACGTCCACGTCCATGTCCACGTCCACGTCCACGTCCACGTCCACGTCCACGTCCACGTCCATGTCCACGTCCACGTCCACGTCAACGTCCACGTCCACGTCCACGTCCACTCCACGTCCACGTCCATGTCCACGTCCAAGTCCTCCACGTCCACGTCCACGTCCACGTTCACGTCCATGTCCACGTCCAAGTTCTCCACGTCCACGTCCACGTCCACGTCCACGTCCATGTCCTCCACGTCCACGTCCACGTCCACGTCCACGTCCATGTCCACGTCCACGTCCACGTCTACGTCTACGTCCACGTCCATGTCCACGTCCACGTCCACGTCCACGTCCATGTCCACGTCCATGTCCACGTCCACGTCCACGTCCACGTCCACGTCCACGTCCACCTCCACGTCCACGTCCACGTCCACGTCCACGTCCACTCCTCGTCCACCTCCACGTCCACGTCCACCTCCACGTCCACGTCCACGTCCACGTCCACGTCCACGTCCATGTCCACGTCCAGGTCCACATTCACGTCCATGTCCACGTCCAAGTTCTCCACGTCCACGTCCACGTCCACGTCCACGTCCACGTCCACGTCCATGTCCACGTCCACGTCCATGTCCACGTCCATGTTCACATCCACGTCTTGTTCACGTCCACGTCCATGTCCACGTCCACGTCCACCCACGTCCACGTCCATGTCCACGTCCACGTCCACACGTCCACGTCCACGTCCACGTCCACGTCTATGTCCACGTCCACGTCCACGTCCACGTCCATGTCCACGTCCACGTCCACGTCCATGTCCACGTCCAAGTCCTCCACGTCCACGTCCACGTCCACGTTCACGTCCATGTCTACGTCCAAGTTCTCCACGTCCACGTCCACGTCCACGTCCATGTCCTCCACGTCCACGTCCACGTCCACGTCCACGTCCACGTCCATGTCCACGTCCACGTCCATGTCCACGTCCACGTCCACTCCACGTCCACTCCACGTCCACGTCTACGTCCACGTCCACGTCCATGTCCACGTCCATGTCCACGTCCACGTCCACGTCCACGTCCATGTCCACGTCCATGTCCACGTCCACGTCCACCTCCATGTCCACGTCCACGTCCACGTTCACGTCCATGTCCACGTCCACGTCCACGTCACGTCCACGTCCATGTCCACGTCCACGTCCACGTCAACGTCCACGTCCAGGTCCACGTCCACTCCACGTCCACGTCCATGTCCACGTCCAAGTCCTCCACGTCCACATCCACGTCCACGTTCACGTCCATGTCCACATCCAAGTTCTCCACGTTTACGTCCACGTCCACGTCCACGTCCACGTCCTCCACGTCCACGTCCACGTCCACGTCCACGTCCATGTCCACGTCCATGTCCACGTCCACGTCCACGTCCACGTCCATGTCCACGTCCACGTCCACGTCCACGTCCACATCCACGTCCACGTCCACGTCCACGTCCACGTCCACGTCCACTCCACGTCCACCTCCACGTCCACATCCACCTCCACGTCCACCTCCACGTCCACGTCCACGTCCACGTCCACGTCCATGTCCACGTCCAGGTCCACGTTCACGTCCATGTCCACGTCCAAGTTCTCCACGTCCACGTCCACGTCCACGTCCACGTCCACGTCCTCGTCCACGTCCATGTCCACGTCCACGTCCATGTCCACGTCCATGTTCACGTCCACGTCTTGTTCACGTCCACGTCCATGTCCACGTCCACGTCCACGTCCACGTCCACGTCCACGACCATGTCCACGTCCACGTCCATGTCCACGTCCACGTCCACGTCCATGTCCAGGTCCATGTCCACGTCCACGTCCACGTCCACGTCCACGTCCATGTCCACGTCCACGTCCACGTCCACGTCCACGTCCACGTCCACGTTCACGTCCATGTCCACGTCCAAGTTTTCCACGTCCACGTCCACGTCCACGTCCTCCACGTCCACGTCCGCGTCCACGTCCGCGTCCACGTCCGCGTCCACGTCCATGTTCACGTCCACGTCTTGTTCACGTCCACGTCCATGACCACGTCCAAGTTCTCCACGTCCACGTCCACGTCCACGTCCACGTCCATGTCCACGTCCACGTCCATGTCCACGTCCATGTTCACGTCCACGTCTTGTTCACGTCCACGTCCATGTCCACGTCCACGTCCACGTCCACGTCCACGTCCACGACCATGTCCACGTCCACGTCCATGTCCACGTCCACGTCCACGTCCACGTCCATGTCCACGTCCACGTCCACGTCCACGTCCACGTCCACGTCACGTCCACGTCCAGGTCCACGTCCACGTCACGTCCACGTCCACGTCCATGTCCACGTCCACGTCCACGTCCATGTCCACGTCCACGTCCACATCAACGTCCACGTCCACGTCCACGTCCACTCCACGTCCACGTCCATGTCCACGTCCAAGTCCTCCACGTCCACGTCCACGTTCACGTCCATGTCCACGTCCAAGTTCTCCACGTCCACGTCCACGTCCACGTCCACGTCCACGTCCTCCACGTCCACGTCCACGTCCACGTCCACGTCCATGTCCACGTCCACGTCCACGTCTACGTCTACGTCCACGTCCATGTCCACGTCCACGTCCACGTCCACGTCCATGTCCACGTCCATGTCCACGTCCACGTCCACGTCCACGTCCACGTCCACGTCCATGTCCACGTCCATGTCCAGGTCCACGTCCACGTCCACGTCCACGTCCACGTCCATGTCCACGTCCACGTCCACGTCCACGTCCACGTCCACGTCCATGTCCACGTCCACGTCCACGTCCATGTCCACGTCCAAGTCCTCCACGTCCACGTCCACGTCCACGTTCACGTCCATGTCCACGTCCAAGTTCTCCACGTCCACGTCCACGTCCACGTCCTCCACGTCCACGTCCACGTCCACGTCCACGTCCACGTCCACGTCCTCCACGTCCACGTCCACATCCACGTCCACGTCCACGTCCACGTCCACATCCACGTCCACGTCCACGTCCATGTCCACGTCCACGTCCACTCCACGTCCACTCCACGTCCACGTCCACGTCCACGTCCACGTCCACGTCCATGTCCACGTCCACGTCCACGTCCACGTCCACGTCCACGTCCACGTTCACGTCCACTCCACGTCCACGTCCGCGTCCACGTCCACCTCCACGTCCGCGTCCACGTCCACGTCCACGTCCGCGTCCACGTCCGCGTCCACGTCCGCGTCCACGTCCAGGTTCACGTTCACGTCCATGTCCACGTCCAAGTTCTCCACGTCCACGTCCACGTCCACGTCCACGTTCACGTCCACGTCCACGTCCATGTCCACGTCCACGTCCATCTCCACGTCCATGTTCACGTCCACGTCTTGTTCACGTCCACGTCCATGTCCACGTCCACGTCCACGTCCACGTCCACGACCATGTCCACGTCCACGTCCATGTCCACGTCCACGTCCACGTCCACGTCCATGTCCAGGTCCACGTCCACGTCCACGTCCACGTCCACGTCCACGTCACGTCCACGTCCAGGTCCACGTCCACGTCACGTCCACGTCCACGTCCATGTCCAGGTCCACGTCCACGTCCACGTCCACGTCCACGTCACGTCCACGTCCAGGTCCACGTCCACGTCACGTCCACGTCCACGTCCATGTCCACGTCCACGTCCACATCAACGTCCACGTCCACGTCCACGTCCACTCCACGTCCACGTCCATGTCCACGTCCAAGTCCTCCACGTCCACGTCCACGTTCACGTCCATGTCCACGTCCAAGTTCTCCACGTCCACGTCCACGTCCACGTCCACGTCCTCCACGTCCACGTCCACGTCCACGTCCATGTCCACGTCCACGTCCACGTCTACGTCTACGTCCACGTCCATGTCCACGTCCACGTCCACGTCCACGTCCATGTCCACGTCCATGTCCACGTCCACGTCCACGTCCACGTCCACGTCCACGTCCATGTCCACGTCCATGTCCACGTCCACGTCCACGTCCACGTCCACGTCCACGTCCATGTCCACGTCCACGTCCACGTCCACGTCCACGTCCACGTCCATGTCCACGTCCACGTCCACGTCCATGTCCACGTCCAAGTCCTCCACGTCCACGTCCACGTCCACGTTCACGTCCATGTCCACGTCCAAGTTCTCCACGTCCACGTCCACGTCCACGTCCTCCACGTCCACGTCCACGTCCACGTCCACGTCCACGTCCTCCACGTCTACGTCCACATCCACGTCCACGTCCACGTCCACGTCCACATCCACGTCCACGTCCACGTCCATGTCCACGTCCACGTCCACTCCACGTCCACTCCACGTCCACGTCCACGTCCACGTCCACGTCCACGTCCACGTCCATGTCCACGTCCACGTCCACGTCCACGTCCACGTCCACGTCCACGTTCACGTCCACTCCACGTCCACGTCCGCGTCCACGTCCACCTCCACGTCCGCGTCCACGTCCACGTCCACGTCCGCGTCCACGTCCGCGTCCACGTCCGCGTCCACGTCCAGGTTCACGTTCACGTCCATGTCCACGTCCAAGTTCTCCACGTCCACGTCCACGTCCACGTCCACGTCCATGTCCACGTCCACGTCCATCTCCACGTCCATGTTCACGTCCACGTCTTGTTCACGTCCACGTCCATGTCCACGTCCACGTCCACGTCCACGACCATGTCCACGTCCACGTCCATGTCCACGTCCACGTCCACGTCCATGTCCAGGTCCACGTCCACGTCCACGTCCACGTCCACGTCCACGTCACGTCCACGTCCAGGTCCACGTCCACGTCACGTCCACGTCCACGTCCATGTCCAGGTCCACGTCCACGTCCACGTCCACGTCCACGTCACGTCCACGTCCAGGTCCACGTCCACGTCACGTCCACGTCCACGTCCATGTCCACGTCCACGTCCACATCAACGTCCACGTCCACGTCCACGTCCACTCCACGTCCACGTCCATGTCCACGTCCAAGTCCTCCACGTCCACGTCCACGTTCACGTCCATGTCCACGTCCAAGTTCTCCACGTCCACGTCCACGTCCACGTCCACGTCCATGTCCACGTCCACGTCCACGTCCATGTCCACGTCCAAGTCCTCCACGTCCACGTCCACGTCCACGTTCACGTCCATGTCCACGTCCAAGTTCTCCACGTCCACGTCCACGTCCACGTCCTCCACGTCCACGTCCACGTCCACGTCCACGTCCTCCACGTCCACGTCCACATCCACGTCCACGTCCACGTCCACGTCCACATCCACGTCCACGTCCACGTCCATGTCCACGTCCACGTCCACTCCACGTCCACTCCACGTCCACGTCCACGTCCACTTCCACGTCCACGTCCACGTCCACGTCCACGTCCACGTCCACGTCCACGTCCACGTCCACGTCCACCTCCATGTCCACGTCCACGTCCACCTCCACGTCCACGTCCACGTCCACGTCCACGTCCACGTCCACTCCACGTCCACGTCCACGTCCACGTCCACCTCCACGTCCGCGTCCACGTCCACGTCCACGTCCGCGTCCACGTCCGCGTCCACGTCCAGGTCCACGTTCACGTCCATGTCCATGTCCAAGTTCTCCACGTCCACGTCCACGTCCACGTCCACGTCCATGTCCACGTCCACGTCCATGTCCACGTCCATGTTCACGTCCACGTCTTGTTCACGTCCACGTCCATGTCCACGTCCACGTCCACGTCCACGTCCACGTCCACGACCATGTCCACGTCCACGTCCATGTCCACGTCCACGTCCACGTCCACGTCCATGTCCAGGTCCACGTCCACGTCCACGTCCACGTCCACTTCACGTCCACGTCCAGGTCCACGTCCACGTCACGTCCACGTCCACGTCCATGTCCACGTCCACGTCCATGTCCACGTCCATGTTCACGTCCACGTCTTGTTCACGTCCACGTCCATGTCCACGTCCACGTCCACGTCCACGTCCACGTCCACGACCATGTCCACGTCCATGTCCACGTCCACGTCCACGTCCATGTCCAGGTCCACGTCCACGTCCACGTCCACGTCCACGTCACGTCCACGTCCAGGTCCACGTCCACGTCACGTCCACGTCCACGTCCATGTCCACGTCCACGTCCACGTCAACGTCCACGTCCACGTCCACGTCCACCCCACGTCCACGTCCATGTCCACGTCCAAGTCCTCCACGTCCACGTCCACGTTCACGTCCATGTCCACGTCCAAGTTCTCCACGTCCACGTCCACGTCCACGTCCACGTCCTCCACGTCCACGTCCACGTCCTCCACGTCCACGTCCACGTCCACGTCCACGTCCATGTCCACGTCCACGTCCACGTCCATGTCCACGTCCACGTCCACGTCCACGTCCATGTCCACGTCCATGTCCACGTCCACGTCCACGTCCACGTCCACGTCCACGTCCACGTCCACGTCCACGTCCACTCCACGTCCACCTCCACGTCCACGTCCACCTCCACGTACACGTCCACGTCCACGTCCACGTCCACGTCCACGTCCACGTCCATGTCCACGTCCAGGTCCACGTTCACGTCCATGTCCACGTCCAAGTTCTCCACGTCCACGTCTACGTCCACGTCCACGTCCACGTCCACGTCCACGTCCACGTCCATGACCACGTCCACGTCCATGTCCACGTCCATGTTCACGTCCACGTCTTGTTCACGTCCACGTCCATGTCCACGTCCACGTCCACGTCCACGTCGACGACCATGTCCACGTCCATGTCCACGTCCACGTCCACGTCCACGTCCACGTCCACGTCCACGTCCACGTCCACGTCCACGTCCATGTCCACGTCCACGTCCACGTCCACGTCCACGTCCACGTCCACGTCCACGTCCAAGTCGTCCACGTCCATGTCCACGTCCATGTCCTCCACGTCGATGTCCACGTCCACGTTCACGTCCATGTCCACGTCCAAGTTCTCCACGTCCACGTCCACGTCCACGTCCACGTCCTCCACGTCCACGTCCACGTCCACGTCCACGTCCACGTCCACGTCCATGTCCACGTCCACGTCCACTCCACGTCCACTCCACGTCCACGTCCACGTCCACGTCCATGTCCACGTCCACGTCCACGTCCATGTCCACGTCCATGTCCACGTCCACGTCCACGTCCACCTCCATGTCCACGTCCACGTCCACGTCCACGTCCAGTCCACGTCCACGTCCACGTCCACGTCCACGTCTACGTCCACGTCACGTCCACGTCCACGTCCATGTCCACGTCCACGTCCACGTCAACGTCCACGTCCACGTCCACGTCCACTCCACGTCCACGTCCATGTCCACGTCCAAGTCCTCCACGTCCACGTCCACGTCCACGTTCACGTCCATGTCCACGTCCAAGTTCTCCACGTCCACGTCCACGTCCACGTCCACGTCCACGTCCTCCACGTCCACGTCCACGTCCACGTCCACGTCCATGTCCACGTCCACGTCTACGTCTACGTCCACGTCCATGTCCACGTCCACGTCCACGTCCACGTCCATGTCCACGTCCATGTCCACGTCCACGTCCACGTCCACGTCCACGTCCACGTCCACGTCCACGTCCACTCCACGTCCACCTCCACGTCCACGTCCACCTCCACGTCCATGTCCACGTCCACGTCCACGTCCACGTCCACGTCCATGTCCACGTCCAGGTCCACGTTCACGTCCATGTCCACGTCCAAGTTCTCCACGTCCACGTCCACGTCCACGTCCACGTCCATGTCCACGTCCACGTCCATGTCCACGTCTATGTTCACGTCCACGTCTTGTTCACGTCCACGTCCATGTCCACGTCCACGTCCACGTCCACGACCATGTCCACGTCCACGTCCATGTCCACGTCCACACGTCCACGTCCACGTCCACGTCCACGTCCATGTCCACGTCCACGTCCACGTCCACGTCCACGTCCACGTCCATGTCCACGTCCACGTCCACGTCCATGTCCACGTCCAAGTCCTCCACGTCCACGTCCACGTCCACGTTCACGTCCAAGTCTACGTCCAAGTTCTCCACGTCCACGTCCAGTCCACGTCCACGTCCACGTCCACGTCCACGTCCAGGTCCACGTCCACGTCACGTCCACGTCCACGTCCATGTCCACGTCCACGTCCACATCAACGTCCACGTCCACGTCCACGTCCACTCCACGTCCACGTCCATGTCCACGTCCAAGTCCTCCACGTCCACGTCCACGTTCACGTCCATGTCCACGTCCAAGTTCTCCACGTCCACGTCCTCCACGTCCACGTCCACGTCCACGTCCACGTCCTCCACGTCCACGTCCACGTCCACGTCCACGTCCATGTCCACGTCCACGTCCACGTCTACGTCTACGTCCACGTCCATGTCCACGTCCACGTCCACGTCCACGTCCACGTCCATGTCCACGTCCATGTCCACGTCCACGTCCACGTCCACGTCCACGTCCATGTCCACGTCCATGTCCAGGTCCACGTCCACGTCCACGTCCACGTCCACGTCCACGTCCATGTCCACGTCCACGTCCACGTCCACGTCCACGTCCACGTCCATGTCCACGTCCACGTCCACGTCCATGTCCACGTCCAAGTCCTCCACGTCCACGTCCACGTCCACGTTCACGTCCATGTCCACGTCCAAGTTCTCCACGTCCACGTCCACGTCCACGTCCTCCACGTCCACGTCCACGTCCACGTCCACGTCCACGTCCACGTCCTCCACGTCCACGTCCACATCCACGTCCACGTCCACGTCCACGTCCACATCCACGTCCACGTCCACGTCCATGTCCACGTCCACGTCCACTCCACGTCCACTCCACGTCCACGTCCACGTCCACTTCCACGTCCACGTCCACGTCCACGTCCACGTCCACGTCCACGTCCACCTCCATGTCCACGTCCACGTCCACCTCCACGTCCACGTCCACGTCCACGTCCACGTCCACGTCCACGTCCACGTCCATGTCCACGTCCAGGTCCACGTCCACGTCCACGTCCACGTCCATGTCCACGTCCACGTCCACGTCCATGTCCATGTCCAAGTCCTCCACGTCCACGTCCACGTTCAGGTCCATGTCCACGTCCAAGTTCTCCACGTCCACGTCCACGTCCTCCACGTCCACGTCCACGTCCACGTCCACGTCCACGTCCCCGTCCAGGTCCACGTTCACGTCCATGTCCACGTCCAAGTTCTCCACGTCCACGTCTTCGTCCACGTCCACGTCCACGTCCACGTCCATGTTCACGTCCACGTCTTGTTCACGTCCACGTCCATGTCCACGTCCACGTCCACGTCCACGTCCACGTCCACGACCATGTCCACGTCCACGTCCATGTCCACGTCCACGTCCACGTCCATGTCCAGGTCCATGTCCACGTCCACGTCCACGTCCATGTCCACGTCCACGTCCACGTCCACGTCCACGTCCACGTCCATGTCCACGTCCACGTCCACGTCCATGTCCACGTCCAAGTCCTCCACGTCCACGTCCACGTCCAAGTTCACGTCCATGTCCACGTCCAAGTCCTCCACGTCCATGTCCACGTCCACGTTCACGTCCACGTCCACGTCCACGTCCATGTCCACGTCCACGTCCACTCCACGTCCACTCCACGTCCACGTCCACCTCCACGTCCACCTCCACGTCCATGTCCACGTCCATGTCCACATCCACGTCCACGTCCATGTCCACGTCCATGTCCACGTCCACGTCCACGTCCACCTCCATGTCCACGTCCACGTCCACGTCCACGTCCATGTCCACGTCCACGTCCACGTCCACGTCACGTCCACGTTCACGTCCATGTCCACGTCCACGTCCATGTCCACGTCTAAGTTCACGTCCATGTCCACGTCCAAGTCCTCCACGTCCATGTCCACGTCCACGTTCACGTCCACGTCCACGTCCATGTCCACGTCCACGTCCACTCCACGTCCACTCCACGTCCACGTCCACCTCCACGTCCACGTCCACGTCCATGTCCACGTCCATGTCCACGTCCACGTCCACGTCCATGTCCACATCCATGTCCACGTCCACGTCCACGTCCACCTCCATGTCCACGTCCACGTCCACGTCCACGTCCATGTCCACGTCCACGTCCACGTCCACGTCACGTCCACGTCCACGTCCATGTCCACGTCCACGTCCTCGTCAACGTCCACGTCCACGTCCACTCCACGTCCACGTCCATGTCCACGTCCAAGTCCTCCACGTCCACGTCCACGTCCACGTTCACGTCCATGTCCACGTCCAAGTTCTCCACGTCCACGTCCACGTCCACGTCCACGTCCACGTCCTCCACGTCCACGTCCACGTCCATGCCATGTCCACTTCCACGTCCACGTCTACGTCTACGTCCACGTCCATGTCCACGTCCACGTCCACGTCCATGTCCACGTCCATGTCCACGTCCACGTCCACGTCCACGTCCATGTCCACGTCCACGTCCACTCCAAGTCCACCTCCACGTCCACGTCCACGTCCACGTCCACATCCATGTCCACGTCCAGGTCCACGTTCACGTCCATGTCCACGTCCAAGTTCTCCACGTCCACGTCCACGTCCACGTCCACGTCCACGTCCATGTCCACGTCCACGTCCATGTCCACGTCCATGTTCACGTCCACGTCTTGTTCACGTCCACGTCCATGTCCACATCCACGTCCACGTCCACGTCCACGTCCACGTCCATGACCATGTCCACGTCCATGTCCATGTCCACGTCCACGTCCATGTCCAGGTCCATGTCCACGTCCACGTCCACGTCCACGTTCACGTCCATGTCCACGTCCAAGTTCTCCACGTCCACGTCCACGATCACGTCCACGTCCTTTACGTCCACGACCACGTCCACGTCCACGTCCACGTCCACGTCCATGTCCACGTCCACGTCCACTCCATGTCCACTCCACGTCCACGTCCACGTCCACGTCCACGTCCACGTCCATGTCCACGTCCATGTCCACGTCCACGTCCACGTCCATGTCCACGTCCATGTCCACGTCCACGTCCACGTCCACCTTCATGTCCACGTCCACGTCCACGTCCACGTCCATGTCCACGTCCACGTCCACGTCCACGTCACGTCCACGTCCACGTCCATGTCCACGTCCACGTCCACGTCAACGTCCACGTCCACGTCCACTCCACGTCCACGTCCATGTCCACGTCCAAGTCCTCCACGTCCACGTCCACGTCCACGTTCACGTCCATGTCCACGTCCAAGTTCTCCACGTCCACGTCCACGTCCACGTCCACGTCCACGTCCACGTCCTCCACGTCCACATCCACGTCCACGTCCATGTCCACGTCCACGTCCACGTCTACGTCCACGTCCACGTCCATGTCCACGACCCCGTCCACGTCCATGTCCACGTCCACGTCCACGTCCACGTCCACGTCCACGTCGTCCACGTCCACGTCCACGTCCATGTCCACGTCCACGTCCACGTCCACTCCACGTCCACCTCCACCTCCACGTCCACGTCCACCTCCACGTCCACGTCCACGTCCACGTCCACGTCCATGTCCACGTCCAGGTCCACGTTCACGTCCATGTCCACGTCCAAGTTCTCCACGTCCACGTCCACGTCCACGTCCATGTCCACGTCCACGTCCATGTCCACGTCCATGTTCACGTCCACGTCTTGTTCACGTCCACGTCCATGTCCATGTCCACGTCCACGTTCACGTCCACGTCCACGACCATGTCCACGTTCACGTCCATGTCCACGTCCACGTCCACGTCCACGTCCATGTCCAGGTCCATGTCCACGTCCACGTCCACGTCCACGTCCATGTCCACGTCCACGTCCACGTCCACGTCCATGTCCACGTCCACGTCCACGTCCATGTCCACGTCCAAGTCCTCCACGTCCACGTCCACGTCCACGTTCACGTCCATGTCCACGTCCAAGTTCTCCACGTCCACGTCCACGTCCACGTCCTCCACGTCCACGTCCACGTCCACGTCCACGTCCACGTCCACGTCCATGTCAACTCCACGTCCACTCCATGTCCACGTCCACGTCTACGTCGACGTCCACGTCCATGTCCACGTCCATGTCCACGTCCACGTCCACGTCCATGTCCACGTCCATATCCACGTCCACGTCCATGTCCACCTCCATGTCCACGTCCACGTCCACGTCAAAATAAAAAGAACAAGGGCCTAGCGTGTGCAAAATAAAAAGAACAAGGGCCTAGCGTGTGCAAAATTGAAAGAACAAGGGCCTAGCGTGTGCAAAATTGCAAGATCAAGGGCCTAGCGAGTGCAAAATAGCAAGAGAAAGGGCCTAGCGTGTGCAAACAATCAAGAACAAGGGCCTAGCGTTCGCGAAATAGCAGGAGCAAGGGCCTAGTGTGTGCAAAATAAAAAGAACATGGGTCTAGCATGTGCAAAATTGCAAGAAAAAGGGCCTAGCGTGTGCAAAATAAAAAGAACTAGGGCATAGCGTATGCAAAATAGCAAGAACAAGGGCCTAGCGTGTGCAAAATAAAAAGAACAAGGGCCTAGCGTGTGCAAAATAAAAAGAACAAGGGTCTAGCATGTGCAAATTTGCAAGAACAAGGGCCTAGCGTGTGCAAAAAATAAAGAACAAGGGCATAGCGTGTGCAAAATAGCAAGAACAAGGGCCTAGTGTGTGCAAAATAAAAAGAACAAGGGCATAGCGTGTGCAAAATAGCAAGAACAAGAGCCTAGCGTGTGCAAAATAAAAAGAACAAGGGCCTAGCGTGTGCAAAATAAAAAAAACAAGGGCCTACCGTATGCAAAATAGTAAGAACAAGGGCCTAGCGTGTGCAAAATTGCAAGAACAAGGGCCTAGCGAGTGCAAAATAGCAAGAGCAAGGGCCTAGTGTGTGCAAAAAATCAAGAACAAGGGCCTAGCGTTCGCGAAATAGCAATAACAAGGGCCTAGCGTGTACAAAATAAAAAGAACGGGGGTCTAGCATGTGCAAAATAGCAAGAACAAGGGCCTAGCGTGTGCAAAATAAAAAGAACAAGGGCCTAGCGTGTGCAAAATAAAAAGAACAAGGGCATAGCGTGTGCAAAATAAAAAGAACAAGGGCCTAGCGTGTGCAAAATAAAAAGAACAAGGGCCTAGCGTGTGCAAAATTGAAAGAACAAGGGCCTAGCGTGTGCAAAATTGCAAGATCAAGGGCCTAGCGAGTGCAAAATAGCAAGAGAAAGGGCCTAGCGTGTGCAAACAATCAAGAACAAGGGCCTAGCGTTCGCGAAATAGCAGGAGCAAGGGCCTAGTGTGTGCAAAATAAAAGAACAAGGGTCTAGCATGTGCAAAATAGCAAGAACAAGGGCCTAGCGTGTGCAAAATAAAAAGAACAAGGGCCTAGCGTGTGCAAAATAAAAAGAACAAGGGCATAGCGTGTGCAAAATAAAAAGAACAAGGGCCTAGCGTGTGCAAAATAAAAAGAACAAGGGCCTAGCGTGTGCAAAATTGAAAGAACAAGGGCCTAGCGTGTGCAAAATTGCAAGATCAAGGGCCTAGCGAGTGCAAAATAGCAAGAGAAAGGGCCTAGCGTGTGCAAACAATCAAGAACAAGGGCCTAGCGTTCGCGAAATAGCAGGAGCAAGGGCCTAGTGTGTGCAAAATAAAAAGAACAAGGGTCTAGCATGTGCAAAATTGCAAGAAAAAGGGCCTAGCGTGTGCAAAACAAAAAGAACTAGGACATAGCGTATGCCAAATAGGAAGAACAAGGGCCTAGCGTGTGCAAAATAAAAAGAACAAGGGCCTAGCGTGTGCAAAATAAAAAGAACAAGGGTCTAGCATGTGCAAAATTGCAAGAACAAGGGCCTAGCGTGTGCAAAAAATAAAGAACAAGGGCATAGCGTGTGCAAAATAGCAAGAACAAGGGCCTAGTGTGTGCAAAATAAAAAGAACAAGGGCATAGCGTGTGCAAAATAGCAAGAACAAGAGCCTAGCGTGTGCAAAATAAAAAGAACAAGGGCCTAGCGTGTGCAAAATAAAAAAATCAAGGGCCTACCGTATGCAAAATAGTAAGAACAAGGGCCTAGCGTGTGCAAAATTGCAAGAACAAGGGCCTAGCGAGTGCAAAATAGCAAGAGCAAGGGCCTAGTGTGTGCAAAAAATCAAGAACAAGGGCCTAGCGTTCGCGAAATAGCAATAACAAGGGCCTAGCGTGTACAAAATAAAAAGAACAGGGGTCTAGCATGTGCAAAATAGCAAGAACAAGGGCCTAGCGTGTGCAAAATAAAAAGAACAAGGGCCTAGCGTGTGCAAAATAAAAAGAACAAGGGCATAGCGTGTGCAAAATAAAAAGAACAAGGGCCTAGCGTGTGCAAAATAAAAAGAACAAGGGCCTAGCGTGTGCAAAATTGCAAGAACAAGGGCCTAGCGTGTGCAAAATTGCAAGAACAAGGGCCTAGCGATTGCAAAATAGCAAGAGCAAGGGCCTAGCGTGTGCAAAAAATCAAGAACAAGGGCCTAGCGTTCGCAAAATAGCAAGAACAAGGGCCTAGCGTGTGCAAAATTGCAAGAACAAGGGCCTAGCGAGTGCAAAATAGCAAGAGCAAGGGCCTAGCGTGTGCAAAAAAATCAAGAACAAGGGCCTAGCGTTCGTGAAATAGCAAGAACAAGGGCCTAGCGTGTGCAAAATTAAAAGAACAGGGGTCTAGCATGTGCAAAATAGCAAGAACAAGGGCCTAGCGTGTGCAAAAAAATAAAGAACAAGGGCATAGCGTGTGCAAAATAGCAAGAACAAGGGCCTAGCGTGTGCAAAATAAAAAGAACAAGGGCCTAGCGTGTGCAAAATAAAAAGAACAAGGGTCTAGCATGTGCAAAATTGCAAGAACAAGGGCCTAGCGTGTGCAAAATAAAAAGAACAAGGGCATAGCGTGTGCAAAAAAGCAAGAACAAGGGCCTAGCGTGTGCAAAATAGAAAAAACAAGGGCCTAGCGTGTGCAAAATAAAAAGAACAAGGGCCTAGCATGTTCAAAATTGAAAGAACAAGGGCCTAGCGTGTGCAAAATAAAAAGAACAAGGGCCTAGCGTGTGCAAAATTAAAAGAACAAGGGTCTAGCATGTGCAAAATTGCAAGAACAAGGGCCTAGCGTGTGCAAAAAAAAAAAGAACAAGGGCATAGCGTGTGAAAAATAGCAAGAACAAGGGCCTAGCGTGTGCAAAATAAAAAGAACAAGGGCCTAGCGTGTGCAAAATAAAAAGAACAAGGGCATAGCGTGTGCAAAATAAAAAGAACAAGGGCCTAGTGTGTGCAAAATAAAAAGAACAAGGGTCTAGCATGTGCAAAATTGCAAGAACAAGGGCCTAGCGTGTGCAAAAAATAAAGAACAAGGGCATAGCATGTGCAAAATAGCAAGAACAAGGGCCTAGTGTGTGCAAAATAAAAAGAACAAGGGCATAGCATGTGCAAAATAGCAAGAACAAGGGCCTAGCGTGTGCAAAATAAAAAGAACAAGGGCCTAGCGTGTGCAAAATAAAAAAAACAAGGGCCTACCGTATGCAAAATAGCAAGAACAAGGGCCTAGCGTGTGCAAAATTGCAAGAACAAGGGCCTAGCGAGTGCAAAATAGCAAGAGCAAGGGCCTAGCGTGTGCAAAAAATCAAGAACAAGGGCCTAGCGTTCGCGAAATAGCAAGAACAAGGGCCTAGCGTGTACAAAATAAAAAGAACAGGGGTCTAGCATGTGCAAAATAGCAAGAACAAGGGCCTAGCGTGTGCAAAAAAAAAACAAAAACAAGGGCATAGCGTGTGCAAAATAGCAAGAACAAGGGCCTAGCGTGTGCAAAATAAAAAGAACAAGGGCCTAGCGTGTGCAAAATAAAAAGAACAAGGGTCTAGCATGTGCAAAATTGCAAGAACAAGGGCCTAGCGTGTGCAAAATAAGAAGAACAAGGGCATAGCATGTGCAAAGTAGCAAGAACAAGGGCCTAGCGTGTGCAAAATAAAAAGAACAAGGGCCTAGCGTGTGCAAAATAAAAAGAACAAGGGCCTAGCGTATGCAAAATAGCAAGAACAAGGGCCTAGCGTGTGCAAAATTGCAAGAACAAGGGCCTAGCGAGTGCAAAATAGCAAGAGCAAGGGCTTAGCGTGTGCCAAAAATCAAGAACAAGGGCCTTGCGTTTGCGAAATAGCAAGAACAAGGGCCTAGCGTGTGCAAAATAAAAAGAACAAGGGTCTAGCATGTGCAAAATTGCAAGAACAAGGGCCTAGCGTGTGCAAAATAAAAAGAACAAGGGCATACCGTGTGCAAAATAGCAAGAACAAGGGCCTAGCGTGTGCAAAATAAAAAGAACAAAGGCCTAGCGTGTGCAAAATAAAAAGAACAAGGGTCTAGCATGTGCAAAATTGCAAGAACAAGGGCATAGCGTGTGCAAAATAGCAAGAACAAGGGCCTAGCGCATGCAAAATAAAAAGAACAAGGGCCTAGCGTGTGCAAAAATAAAAGAACAAGGGCCTAGCTTGTGCAAAATTGCAAGAACAAGGGCCTAGCGTATGCAAAATTGCAAGAACAAGGGCCTAGCGAGTGCAAAATAGCAAGAGCAAGGGCCTAGCGTGTTCAAAAAATCAAGAACAAGGGCTAAGCGTTCGCAAAATAGCAAGAACAAGGGCCTAGCGTGTGCAAAATAAAAAGAACAAGGGTCTAGCATGTGCAAAATTGCAAGAAAAAGGGCCTAGTGTGTGCAAAATAAAAAGAACAAGGGCATAGCGTGTGCAAAGTAGCAAGAACAAGGGCCTAGCGTGTGCAAAATAAAAAGAACAAGGGCCTAGCGTGTGCAAAATAAAAAGAACAAGGGCCTAGCGTATGCAAAATAGCAAGAACAAGGGCCTAGCGTGTGCAAAATTGCAAGAACAAGGGCCTAGCGAGTGCAAAATAGCAAGAGCAAGGGCCTAGCGTGTGCCAAATATCAAGAACAAGGGCCTTGCGTTTGCGAAATAGCAAGAACAAGGGCCTAGCGTGTGCAAAATAAAAAGAACAAGGGTCTAGCATGTGCAAAATTGCAAGAACAAGGGCCTAGCGTGTGCAAAATAAAAAGAACAAGGGCATAGCGTGTGCAAAATAGCAAGAACAAGGGCCTAGCGTGTGCAAAATAAAAAGAACAAAGGCCTAGCGTGTGCAAAATAAAAAGAACAAGGGTCTAGCATGTGCAAAATTGCAAGAACAAGGGCCTAGCGTGTGCAAAATAAAAAGAACAAGGGCATAGCGTGTGCAAAATAGCAAGAACTGTCAGATTATCATAGCTGATGCATGTTTGTAGGCTATAGTGGGGTAGCACATATGGGGTACAGCTTTCTAGGGTTGTATTTGTACCCAACTCTGACTTAGTCATTTCCATTCCTGTTCATTCTTTTCACATGGTATAGAGCGGGTCCCTCCTAAGGACCGTTTTTTAAGGG